CCCCAAAACCCCAAAACCCCAAAACCCCAAAACCCCGAGCTTTGAGGATAATGTATTCTGAAGTCGAAAGTTGATGAAAAATACAAAGAATTAATTAGCAGAATCGAATCATCGAAATTGAACCGTGTATTAAAAATTGGATATATACATTGCTAGTAATATATTTAATATCTGAGAACTTATAATATTCAATGGACCCACTGTACACAAGCTAGGACTATATGAGAAACACCCACATCCTCAACTCCTCATATGCCTACGCCCAATAATTCTAGCTTGAGCAATACTATAACTATCAATATCCTCAATAACTTCAGTACATCCCCTACCCTACCGTTCAACCACAATTAATTTCTTGGCACTTACCAAACACCGGCATTCAAGTAAATGAAATTAATGATAATAACTCAAAGCCAGAAAAAGAAAGCCAAGGAGTCCTAAGTCATTTTTCAGATGATTTCTTGCCATTCCAAGTTGATTATCTCACCGATTTACACTTGATGAACGGCAAAGAAGTTGTTTAAAAAGAATAATAAGAAAACTTTTCTAACGAGGCAAGATTCAAATAATTTGGTAGGTCTAATGCCTCCTATACCAAATAACAAGGATCTACATGTCTATCATTCAGCAGCCTCGAGCTTGCAATGATTAACAAGTCAATCAATCAATCTCAGAATCTCCATAGCTCGGAGCAGACTGAGGATTTGTGTGACTTGTACCTGTAGAATCGCAGTAACCAAGATTCTAAAAATAATAATGACTTAGAAGAAATAGTTGAGGGTACGGAAGACTCAGATAATCTTAAAGTGGTCCAAAATGCTGAAAACCTTGAAATTGCCGAGGAAAAAGAACAGTCGGAACAGCAAAAGAAGAGCAAACAAGCTAACTCCTGGAGGAAGGACGTAGTTTACAAGACTATTCTCAGAAAAATTAGAAAGGAGTATCTTAACGAATTTAACTCTCGAACAAAGTATATTCTAACTAAGAGATCTAGAAAGCCAACCTATCTGCTAGAAAAACTCTAGGAGTATGCCGAGTATTTATTGGACGGCACTAACTCAGACCTAACGGATGAATTAGTTTTCTTCATGGGGTGCATTTTTTACCCTAAGCACATGAAGAACATCTATCAAACCGCTAGCAAGTTATAGGAAATTGAGACTGTTCACTCGAGCTTATATTCATTCACTAAAAAGAAATTATCTAATTTGGAATCCTATGGCGCTTATCACTTTTTAATTGATAAATTTGAAACCAAAAATAAGGATACTCTGCTTAAAAAGGATGACATATGCACTGAAACTTTCGCAAACGACGAGTCATTCGATGCTGCAGATATCACCATTCGTTCTGATTTTATTGAGGGATTTGATCAGTTATAGTAAAGACTTCAATCAAGCAAGAAACATATCATTCGTAAATAATTCTCAAATAATGAGTCAGCGGTAGTAAATACATTATGAGCTGCTCATACGTCTATATAAAAGCTAAGAAATATAACATAACACATACCAGTGTTCACCTAATACTTACTTAATATTACATTAGTACGTCACACACACACACTTAATTTACATAAAAATTGAAAAAAATCCATATTTTCCTTTTCCATTTTACTTATTATATATTGCGCTATGGGGTTTTGGGGTTTTGGGGTTTTGGGG